GTAGCGTCCATACAAATTCAGAGAGTGCAATAATCGACTCGGATCGTAAAAAAATCATTTTAATTTTAAACAAATCAATCAGATATTACAACCTATAATCATCGATAATTTTTCAAAATGTTTGTTACTTTTTTCATATTTGATGTACTTAAAACGACGATTTTTTGTCGCTAGGTATCATTGGAGTCTATTCCACGTGGAACTCCAGAGACACCTAGCGGCCAAATAAACGTCCTTTAAAGTTTATTTTATATGAAACAAGTAAAACTTTTTATGAAGTATTAACTTTATACGAATGCGTCGAAAAATTATCGATGATTATAGGTTGTAATAACTGAATGATTTGTTTGGAATTAATTGATTTTGTGTGGACGTTACGTTCTGTATGAGTTGTTTTTTAACAGTTTTTTCTTTATAGGACGCAACAGATAGAAGTTAGATTAATAGCGATCACCATCGATAAGTTTTCGACTTAAGCCTATACCCCCTTTAATTTTTCGTGAACACTCCCTTTAATGTACCAATGTTTCCTCTGATCACTTTACAAAACGTGAAATGGATTACTTCTTTTTGTACTTTCATAATTATTAATTTTAGAATAATCCGTTGTATCAAATTCAAACAAATTGTTTTTTTTTCATAAAGGGACAATTACCACTAATATTGAAAACTTTAAAAGGATGAATAAAAAGGCGTTTAAACATCCTTTTTTTTAAAACTAACACAGAGAAGTGAAAAGTTTTTTGGCAAAATCTTTTTTTTTTTGAGGATTTCCACTTTTTTGACAAAGTGAACAGCCCCTTTAATTACCAGGATATATTATTGAAAATAATCCAGATACTTCCAAGACCTTTATTACTGATTTGTTTTTTCTCAGATAATACATTTGTTTAGTGAGCCTCGCTGAACATGATAAACAAAACCAAACAAAACTTAGAACAATATAAAGACATTTTTCTTTCTAATTTGTAATTAAATGATTTAATTTAGTTTTTAATGTGTAGTAAATGGAATGACACGTAATTTCAAGGGTATTTCCGTTTCACAAGGGTCCATTTTTCATTTAACCTTTGAATGATATTTTTAAAGGTCTTTTGTCAGTGTAACTGAATGGTTGTTACAGGCACTGACAAGGTCTTTAGTCAATATATCGTTTTCATGGAACCCTATGTTTTGAAAGTATCAACATTCTGATAAAATCTCCATATCTTTGCTATCAGATGTTCTTGGTTCATGGAACACACCAACAGGCTGCGAAGAGAGATTATAAAATTGGAGTAATGAACAGTTCGGTTTGATAGAAGGATGTGAAACGTCGATTTCGGATAAACTTTTTAGAGATATACTTTTTGGTACAGTTCTTAAACTAACCCTATTCGGGGCTGAATGATTTGTTTGGAATTAATTGATTTTGTGACGATCNGGTCCTTGGAACCCCCTGACGTCTTTTGGAGATAACTCAAAAAGTTTTCTTCTGAGGCTGCTCAAATTTTATTATTTTTCTAACTAACACATGTCCCTCACTTCAGACTTTATACCTTCTGCCTGAGTCCTCGGGCATACTGCCTGAATGCCTTATTTTACCTTTGCACATTTGTTGCTTAAACACTGCAATAAATTTGAAATTTGGGTAAACCAGACGTGAGCCTGAATAGGGTTAAAATAGAACGCGCCTAGATATACATATGTATACATACACATTTAAAGTTTCTGAACATCACTCAAGTATTTTAAGACCAAATGAATATTTTGAGATTTTACAGTTCTTCTCCAATACAAGAAATTCAGTTATTTGATATATTTGCTAGAGTATATTCATTATTAGTATAAGAACATATTTATACTCATAGTTACAAAGGAATTGAGGCTTCGTCACAGATTCAAAATTTATCTTTGAAACCTGATGGTGTAAACCTTTGATAATTTAAATCTAGACTATTTGATATAACAGAAATCACAGCTTGAAATATAGATTATACCATCAGAGTTTGTTGCAAAGTCTCAATTTCTTTACATTGTTTTCAAGGAAGATAAAAGCTATTTTATCAAAACTTTATGTATCGTAATGATTTTTTGGCCACAAGCTCAAATTTTCTAATCCTTATATCTTTTTAGCCTGATGGTGTAAACCTTAGATATTTCAAACTATGAATTCTGTAAGTTAAAGTAATCTCCGTTCAAAATATCAAAGGTTTACAAAATCAGGTTACAAAGATATAGGAATTAGAAAATTTGAGTTTGTGGCAAAGACTTAATTCCTTTATTTATTAACAAATTTCAGGTGGCATACTCCCTTCTTTTCTTCCCAACCTCTAGAAGCAGTATCCTGGTCTCCAGTAGGTTCAGGACTAGTTGGAGTTTTCCAACATGATATCTACTACTGGACTTCCCCGTCGAGTCCTAGCAGGAGATTAACATATACAGGAATTCATCTCCGTTCTGATCATCTTGACCATCCTATCTATTCTATCTATCCCATCCATCCTAGATTTCCTTATCAATTCATCCTAACCATCCTATCCATCCTATCCATCCTATCCATCCTATCCATCCTATCCATCCTATCCATCCTATCCATCCTATCCATCCTATTCCATATTAAAAAATTTACTCAGAATATGCTTCGTACATTCCCAGTTAAAGATTTATATACATATTTTGGCTTGTTTGTTTGTTTGTATCTAATAAACGTCAAAGCGGCTGTGGCATTTTTTTTGGAAAACCATCGATGAGTTTGTGGCGTTATTTTTGACTCATTTCCGTTATAGTCAAAAAGTTTATAAGCAACATTTCCAACCTAAAATTTTTAATATAAAAAGCTGAAAGTGATGTATTGGTATATTTTAACATAGAATTAAACAATATTACAAATATATTTGATGTTGTTTAATCAGAATTTAGGGGATATTAATCAACTAGATCTTATCACCTTGACAGCAAAACCAAAAGCATGAAGTTAACAAAATTATGATTAATTTTTGTTTCAGTCAAGAAATTTAGAAAAAATAGGCTTTTTAGAGCGCTTTGCGACCCGTTTCTAGTTCTTCTAGTCGCCATGTTTCATCAATTCAATTTCGCGGATTTTTCTTTCTAAATTAAAATCATGAAAATAAAAGTCGGCATTTTTATCCAGACAAGTTTTTTTGTTTTATTTTGAACTTTCATAATCCTTCTCTGACGTCAGGAAGCGTCACCAGGTAAGTTCTTTTCAGTTTTGAAGGAATAATTGGTTAAATCATGGTAAAATGATAAAATTTTTGCATATTTATTGAATACAAACTGTCTTTTTACCAACTTTCTTTAATTCTTTCCACTAAAAACAGCTATTTTTAAGATTTTTATAATACTTTGTATTTTTTGGTGAGAAATACTAAACTTGCCTACAAAAGAATAACATTTTTAGAATTAGTTTTGATCTATTTTTAACAACAAAAAATACTTCATTATTCATTCATTTACAATTTAAATAGAAAACAGAACTTCAAATCCTTCTTGTATTATTTCTCCTATAAAAGTTATTCATGCATATATCAATCAACTTTTGGGATAAACTTATATATCAACTAGTGTGCTTAATTAGGAAATTCGATATTCTTACTGTTACTTCTAATTTGTTATCAACAATAAGAAAACCTGGTGCATTTGGATTCGTAGTAAGAAATCCTCATTTTTAATTCAAGGAACTTCTGATCGGGGTTCTTAGCCCTGCAAGTAATAATATCCTATATTACTGCTTCATAATATATAAAATATAAAACATAATGATAATTTAAATCTTGTTCTAAATTAAGCATAAATGGAAACATTTTTCAAATAGAATACAAAGAACTGAGAATTAATTAGACGAGAGGATTATATTCATGAATCAATACAATGAGCAAGATTCACAAAGGATCCTCAATATAAATTACGCAAAATGTGCGTATACAGTACCACACGTAGAGACGTACACATTCTAAAAAAGTTTGATTAAAAACACATTGAATGAGACCTGTCCCGAGTGAAAGCTGGATATCTTCTCCTTTTTTTAATCTGATCTGATCCTTCTTGGTAGTTATATGCTGACCATTTTTAGAGGTTACTTATGTAAAATGTCTTACCATGAAGGATATAACTAAACTATTTTTAAACAAACGAAAAACGTAAAATTTCAGTATTTTACCGAAATGTTTTTTTTTAAATTTTATCTAATTGTTTTCTCTATACTTTTTAGATTCACCAATTATATTTTTTCGGTCATCACTACTGATCAGGGATAAATATTATTTTTCAAATCTGAACAGTATTTTTGTAACATTTTGGTGTTTTTTTTCAAATCATCCCCTGTCTTTTTAGCGACATATGCAAATGGTACTTTGGTATCATGGTACATGGAAAGTATGCTTTTTATTAAGCGTTTCTAAAAATTCTTTCTGTGCACCGAAATACTGATAAATCAGTATTCTTAAAAATTATTTCTGATCATTGTTTGATGTTTGTCGAAATACAATAATTGTTTTATGAACTTGCAGAGTAGTTTATTTGTTTGTTTGCTTCTAATACTTCATACCTAATCAATAAGAGAACTTGAGTTCAACTTCAACATCTGAACTGAGCTGGGAACTTTAGAATGGATAAACTGACTTCTTGATCCGAATATCCACTGTGGAAACTTTTCATTTTAGTCCTTAATCCACTCTTTTTCTCTCTCCTTGGATATCCGTAAATTGTTTTCTCCAATGAGAATATTTCTGTTCTCTCATTGGTTGCCCGCTTTTTTCTGATTGGCTGCTACAGTTTCTCAGATGATTAAATATTAATTTGAATTTTATCGTTTTTCATACACTTTTAAGATAATCTTGCACGATTATGTTAATCTTGAGATTATCCAAAAGAGAGGATCAAGCATTAATCCCGATATCCACCATTCTAAAGTTTTCAGCTCTGAGTCCAAATTTAATGAATTTAAGCTGCGTACGTCTCAAATCTTGAAACATGGTATACAATTTTAAGTGGAATCGACCATATTTGAGCCGCCTCTCAAATTTAAGCCGCGGCTCAAATTCTTCCAATTCGGCCTCTGATAAATTGTCTCAAACTCTCATTGGTGATGTTTTCAATTGATCTAGAAAAAAATGATAGTATAAGGTATGTAAGCCCTCGAAATAGAGCTTAAAACCATCAAAATGGCACAATTTTTGTGTGGGACCTGCTGTGGCCTTGTTTTCTATTTGATTGACATTTAAAATTTAAATTTAAAAGTACAAAAAAAAACTGAATTTAATGTTGTAAAAATGAAATTAACATGTTCTTTATTATTTCGAAATAGCACTAAATTTCTAGCTATTATGAAAATCATTAAAACCAAATTTTAATTTAAGGGAAATATGAATATAAAGTAATATTGTAGTTTATGCGAGCATGTAAACGTTAATTTTAAATTTTAGCATCTCTCTTGTAAAACATAATAATAAAGGGAAATTTGAAATTTCAATAAAATTAATTTGAAATGGTAATTTTGCACAGAAGTTAAAAAGGGGCGATGAAAAAAATGTTTTTTCACAAAGCACAAATTTATCTTCATTGATTTGTCATAATTCATAACTTTCAAAACTGGGAATCTCAATTTCAACTTTGATCTGACAATCTGTAGGGGAGTATTCAGGATCANTCTCCTGCGATATATAGGAGACGATATTAATCTCCTGCGATATATAGGAGACGATATTAATCTCCTGCGATATATAGGAGACGATATTAATCTCCTGCGATATATAGGAGACGATATTAATCTCCTGCGATATATAGGAGACGATATTAATCTCCTGCGATATATAGTAGACGATATTAATCTCCTGCGATAGTTCATCCCCCTAGTAATTTAACCATGTTCAAATTGGAAAGTTGAGGCTCTGGTAGCAAAAGTGTATGTAAATGATTATGTTATTTGACCAGAGGAGAATACCTTTGAACGCTTGATCTCGATATAAAATTGGGGCACTTTTAAATTTGAGGATAAATGCTTCTTAATCCCCTAATCCGCAGGTTTGCATATGATGGGGATCAATGCTTGATCCTGAGATTTTATAAGTACATAATTATATCATTTTATATAAACTATTACACTAAGGTCTGTCCTATTGAACGTTTTTTGGACCGTTGTTTGGCCCCCTGCACCCCCCTCCCTCCTATACATTTTGTACATGACATTTCATCTTTTTTTCAACAAAATTAGTAATATTTCTCTTGAATAATATCGGGGTTAGGTTAGGTTAAGCTAATTTCTGGGCCAAAACCTAAAGCTAGGACAGACAAGGAGCTCTGTGGCCACATGTCCTAATATGTTACTTATGAAATGGATGTACAGAATTGAAATGAGGAAGGGGGGGGGGGGCAAAACGAAATTACCATACTCTGTTTGTGAAATATAAACCTTTAATAATAATAAAAATATGAAGGGATTCCTTGAGAAGGAAGATTAGATAATAATTTGATATTTTTAGAACGTATTCTCTGCAGCCCGGAGAGCTCCTGGTTCTCCCCAGATGGACAATCTCTTGCTTTCTTCTCTATAAATAATACAGAGGTACGTGAGCTAGGGTAATGATGATAAAAGACGACATTTGGAAAACATAAATTGTTCTAAATGTTAAATGTTCACTTTCTTTAATATAATTTAATTCCTTTAGTAAATTAAACCAATAAATAGTGCCGATTTATTCCCTGTACTTAAACACTTCATTTCAATAAACTGTATATCATTTGTACAATACGAAAACAATGTAATCGGATTCGAATTCTTACAATTTTAAAATGTCCCTTTTTACATTAAAAGCAGACACTTCCTGACTTTTACTTTGATTTTTATTTTCAACTAAAAACCATCTCTAAGGGACGTAATTTTAAATGAAATTCCATTAAACTATTTGAAAATACACTCGTTTTTCTATTTAGAAATTGATAACTTTTAATTGTGGATTCTTATTTAAAGGGGCTTGCAGATTTTATGCAGCAAAAACAAAGAATTAATTTGTCAAAAATTACAAGGAACATTCCATTTTAAAAGTGAAATGTCCGATTTACAACAGTGCTCTGAAAGCAGGATCAAATGAAATAGATTTATTTGTCTTTTTAAAAAAAACTGAATATTTTCAAGTGTGGTTTCTCTACAAAAGTGACTTGTGCATTTCTACCTCAGAAAGGAATTGACTCTTTGCGACAAACTCTGATGTTCAATATCTTTGGAACCCAATGTTTGATATTTCAAACCTATATTTTTGATCTAACAAAAGTCATAGTTTGAAATTTCAAAGGTTTACAACGTTGGAATCAAAAGATATAGGGATTAGAAAATCAGAGTTTGTTGCAAAGACTCAATTCCTTTTGTGGAGTTTACTCCAATTACACACTTTTCAAACCAGGAATGTACGACAAAATCTTCCACATTATCAATCAGATAAACTTGTTAATTGGTACTGTTGTAAATAGGACATGCTTTAAATGTAGGGACAATAAAATTACAACAGTCTCTTCAATGATTTTAAGGTTGCCATTAAAGTCACATCTTTTGGAGGAAACCCTCCACTATTCATATTTATCAAACTCAAGTGAAAAATCAAATTAATGTTAATATATGCTTATTGTTTGATGATCGATGTTTATTCATTATATTCATTCTAATTCCTAATATATTGAAAATCATTACATACAAAAAATGACGTCAGTTGAGTAAATTTTATGTTTTAGGTCGGAAAGATTAAAGGGTCTCGTCTTAGTGTTTCAACCCTGCACCCTTCACTTCCTTTCCCTACGGTAAGCTGAAAGGTTGAGTTCTTCTATTGCAAACTTGCTCTTTAAAACTAATGATATTTTTTCAATGTCTAGTTTAAACGTTTATGATAGTTTGGCAAGTACTAAATTACATAGATTTGAAAAATACAATTAAACAGAAGTTTAAGCTAATTCTGGAATTTTGAAATGTAAATTATTGAAATAGTAAACTGAGTTTGTACTTTCTGAACATAAACTATTTCAAACTATTTCTTAAAACCTTAAAAATTACTGAGATGACATAATTTTTTTTATATAAAATATTTTTTCGTTTTAGACAGGTTAAGTTCTTCCTTTGTATTCAGTAAAGAATGTTACAATATAGTAATTTCATTGATGTTACATGTCTCAAATATTTTTTCAATCATGTTTAAAGTATGAGAAGAAACGTGGTTTACGGAACACGGTCTTCAGAATTTACAATAATTTTAACTTTAATAGATAAAGTTACGATGCTAACTAAGTATGATTATAAGATATGTGATTTTGCACATTTTTATCAGATTATATACTAATGTAATAATTTCGTGAAGTTCCAATTTTAAATTGAGGAAAAAGAGCTCAGAATGTAGCGTTTCCTTCAAATTTTTGGATCTTTAATTTAAAGGTTCTATCATACGTTTAAAGAGTATGAAACATTTTTTCGTTTCAGCTGTGATACATGGCTCGGATGAGCTTCATACTCGTTATATATCGATGTAATCTGTGGAAGAGGGAAAAAAATAAATTTGCCCATGTTCAGGGGAAATTTTTTAGCAGGTCAAAAAAATCTCTCATAGCAGTTTCGTTTCCGGGGTTGTTCCCGGATCTTCTGGGTTCGGGCTTGTTTGCGTTATCTCCGTAATGCTAGGAAACAACGGATCTCTTTTAAATCTGTTGTTAACATAATATAAATATTTTTAGTGGTTTTTTAGGTTGGGGCTGCCTGAGAGCCCCTGCCGCTCCTTATTTAATCTTGAAAATTTGTTCTATCCTGATATTTTTTCGAGCCTTCCTCAGAACTATTCTTTAGATACAAAATTAATCACAACATAATTGAAGTGAAACTAGCCTACACAGACCTGGAAACTTTTAAATGAATTGGTTTCAAACTTTAGAATTTTGATTCAAATCAGTCCGTTCAAAAGTTCCCAGCTCTGGTTTTTCAGACAGGAGGTCCTCTACCTATTGTGACAGTTTATGTCGTTAATTTGGTTCTAGCGGCGGATCCTAGAATACTCAACCTTCCAGTGCAAATTAAATCCAGGTATTGCTTTTATTTTGTTATTCCTGAACCAAATTATATTAAAGATATTCCCAATTATTCCTTACAATAAGATACAACAAACAACGGCTTTGCAGATAAAATATTTGTCTGGCGACCCCGGGGTCTAAGCTAATGACCAATGGGAAAGTTATTCAATATTAATTTAAATGTTTTCCTGGAGTTTTTCCTTATCTGATATTGAATTCCTATTGTCTAGGTCTGGATACCTAGGACCTATCAAGTGGATTACAAACATCACCCTCTCCCTGACCTTCCTCTCCAGGAACCAGGAGTTCATCAACTTCATCCACTGCAATACTCTAACACTATCCTGTACTCTGGTAGGTCACCCCGGCCTATCCAGAGTTCGGTTTCTTCTATTTAAAAAAATACGCGTTTTGGTTTATAATTAAACAATCTTTAAACTTACGGATTTGTTTGTTTAATACTTTTCATTCAAAACGTTTATGCGGGCAAAAAAGTATTTAAGGAAAAAAGGCTAAAAATGTTTGTTTAATAGGACAAAGTGCGATCGAAAGTCACAGCTTTCTGGAATATTGACACATTGAACTCTAGTAGGCACTAGAGGCATTGTATATCCTGTACTCTGGTAGATACTAGAGGCATTGTATACCCTGTACTCTGGTAGATACTTGAGACATTGTATATCCTGTACTCTGGTAGATACTAGAGGCACTGTATATCCTATACTCTGGTAGATACTAGAGGCATTGTATATCCTGTACTCTGGTAGATACTAGAGGCATTGTATACCCTGTACTCTGGTAGATACTAGAGGCATTGTATATCCTTTACTCTGTAGATACTAGAGGCATTGTATATCCTGTACTCTGGTAGATACTAGAGGCATTGTATATCCTGTACTCTGGTAGATACTAGAGGCATTGTATACCCTGTACTCTGGTAGATACTAGAGACACTGTATATCCTATATTCTGGTAGTTACTAAAGGTTCTGTATATTCTGTAAGCTGGTAGGTACTAGAGGTACTGTATATCCTGTACTTAGGTAGGTCCTAGGGGAACTGAATATCCTGTCCTCTGGTTAGGAAAAAGAGGCATGTATATACTTTCTGGAATATTGACATATTGAACTCTAGTAGGTACTAGAGGCATTGTATATCCTGTACTCTGGTAGATACTAGAGGCATTGTATAACCTATATATACTCTGGTATGTACTAGAGGCACTGTATATTTTGTACTCTAAATATCCTGTAGTTCAAGATAGATATTTTTTCTGTTTTGCACTAGGTTTTTTGAAATTTCAGGGGGGGTGCAACGGTCCTGCCGCCCCCCTTGTATCCACCCCTGCCCAATTTTCTAGGGTGGGAATTTTTACCAATTTTCCAGATTGGTACGTCCTACCAATTTTCCAGGGTGGGACTTCTAACAATTTTCCAGATTGGGACGTCTTTCCAATTTTCCGGGTTGGGACGCCCTACCAATTTTCCAGGTTGTTACGTCCTACCAATTTTCAAGGTTAGGACGTCCTACCAATTTTCCACGGTGAGACTTCCTACTAATTTTCCAGGATGGGACGTCCTATCAATTTTCCAGGGTGAGACTTCCTACCAATTTTCCTGGTTGGGATGTCCTACCAATTTTTCAGGATGGGATGTCCTACCAAATTTCCAGGGCGGGATGTCCTACCAAATTTCCAGGGTGGGATGTCCTACCAAATTTCCAGGTTGGGATGTCCTACCAAATTTCCAGGGTGGGATGTCCTACCAAATATCCAGGGTATGGGGCCTCCGTGTTGACTAAAAAGATTTCATCCCTACAAATAATTTTATTCACATATATGTTTTATTTTTATTTCTGATTAAAAAGTAATTTTTAACTCTATATTCATGTTATCTTTTTTTGTTAGCATTTATTTTATTGGTATGGAATGGGAAAGGGTTTATGTTTCATAAAATATATCACCGAGGGGGGGGAGGGGTGAAGATTTTTAAACAGTTAAACAATTTGTGTAATTATAATGTTTAATGAAATGCAGATTTTTTAGTTTGGATAAGTTTAAAACTTCCATTAGACAAAGTAAATTTTAGATTTAGGCAAAGTTAATAAATTCTTTAAAATAAAACACTCAACTCATCCCAGGATAAATATGGTTGTATTTGTTTAACCATTTTTATGCAAGCTATTTTATATTTTAGTAACATTTATATTTTCTTTCAAAAAGCCAAAAAAAAAATATTTACTTTTGAATTCGTTTTTTTTGGATGAACAAGTGTTGTCTAATTTAAGTCTAATTCTTTTACAAATATGAAGCTTACTAGAGATCTAGAGCAAGTACAGGGTGAGTCAAAAATAAACCGGGATTATCGATGTTGTGGACAAAAATTTTATTTTTTTCGGATTTTAGGCATAAAAAAATAAAATGTAATAAAACAATTCAAAAATATTTTTGGAGCTTTAAAAAAAAATCCGCGAAACCAATTTTCTTTAAAAAAAAATTAAACATTTTTTCGAAAAAATTGTTTTAAAACAAATTTTTCGTTTGTTTTCCAAAATTTCATGAAAACTCATCGGGTTGCTAAGATATAGAGTTTGGGGAAAGAACTCATTTTATATATTGAAAAGAGAATTTTCATAAAAACTTTTCGATTGGGAACAATGTTTTTTGAATTAGTTCCCTAGTCATTTTCCGAAACTTATTCAAAAATAGATTTTTTTTTTGAAATTAAGAAAGAAGCAAATGCAAGGAAAGAGGCCTTTAAACCTCGAAATGAGATTCTGTCAAAATTGAAAATTTATTTGAATTTTTTAAAACTTTTTATTCTTGGATTAGGAAACGTAAACATTAGAAAAACTAAGCCTTCATGAGATTGATAAAACAGAGGATTTCTCGTTTATAGGTGTTGTTCCCATATTTTAGGAAGGCATGGTAGACAGCAATTATTGCAATTACAAAAATGAGAAATGTCTTTGCCACAACCTCTGTTTTTCTACTGTCTATATCTTTGCGTGCGAATGTCGTAAACTTTAGATATTTCAAACTAAGAATTCTGTTAAATCAAATGATTTAAGTTTGAAATATTCAAGGTTTACACCATAAGGTCGCAAAGATATGGGATTAGAAAATGTTAGTTTGTGGCAAAAACCCAACTCCTTTCTTACTCATGTACAATTTTAGAAATAAATATAGTTCATATAATTAAAAGGAGTTAAAACTAAATATTTTGATCACTTATTTATGTTCCGTCAAAAACATCTCAAGTTTCCATTTTTTAATTTATTATTTATAAAAGAAAGCCCAAAAGAAAAATAAAAAATAGCACAGAAAAAAAATCTAGATTTAATGGTTAAAAATGGGGTTCTAAAGTTAAAACTCACTGGACTTTCAATCAGGATATCTAGTTTACCGTGTGATTACTCTTCTCGTACTCTTAGTTTCTAATCCTGTATCTTTTATTCCAGCCTGATATTGTATAGACCTCTGTTATTTCAAACTTTAAATTTAGTTCTGCTAAATCAAACAGTCAAAACATTAGGGTTCAAGAACCAACACTTGGAGATGAAATATCAACTGATTTGTACTTTTAATCAGCTCAAATAACGGAAAAATTCTTTTATCCAACACAAAGCGTTGTGGTTCAGAATGCGTTTGCATTTTCTAAATTCATGAATTTTTAATAACAAACTCTTTGGAATTTAAAATATGAATTTTGAATTCATTTTGAAATTTTACAAATAAATGTAGATCTGATAACACTATAAAGTTCCCGGACGGTGACTTTAACATTTTCTGAGCTTGGAACATTTAAATTAGTTGTTGCTAAGCTCGTTGGCCATAATTTTATATGAAAACTGAAATTTATAGATCTTCATAGTAGAAAGCAAAGGAACTGAGTTTTTGTCACAAACTTCGAGTTTCTTTTTGCTATATCTTTGCAACTCGATGTCATATACCTTTTGATATTTCTAAATGTAAATTCTGTTGCATTTAATAGTTTTACTTTGAAAAATTAAAAGTTTCCGTAAATCAGGTTGCAAAGATATAGGAATTTGATCCTTTGCTGAACTCTCATTTTAGTCAAACAGCTAAATTTTTGACCGATAACAGGTCCCCGTTAATCTCGAACAATCAATTCAAACAATCCATCTCTCAATTATTGGAAATAATCTAATTCGGTTCAAATGAGTTTAAAACATTTTCTCATTTCTCATTGGTTAGTTTTATAATACAAGCAAACTCCATCTAGATATATTATGTATAACTGACGTTTACATATAAACATTAAAGTTACTTTACTTTTCGATTTAATAAATAATGAACCCCAAAGCTGCATTGTGTAAATTTTGTTTACTGTTAACCTGCTTTAAAAGGGGCTATAACATTTGCAACCGTAACCTTAATTTGTTTATCGGAATTTAACGAAAATCACTGCATTATAGAGGTCGGAAGGACGGACTCTTTTGAAACACGAATAACTGTACCAGTATATATTTAGGTCTACTTTATAACTACAACTACTAACTACAACTCAAATATATATAAATCACAAGGCAGGTTCGAGATCATTCTAGAAAGTGCCAGCCACGAAGGCTGGTTCGAGATCATTCTAGAAAGTGCCATGCCGGGAAGGCTGGTTCGAGATCATTCTAGAAAGTGCCATGCCGGGAAGCTAATCCTCTCTTGTTGTGAAGATCGGCTAAGGAGGCCGATAGTCGTCTTCCACAGCATAATCCATAATCTTTGAAGCCTGATTAATAGTTTTGTTATTATGTAGAATGGCAAAATAATGGCAAAAACTATGAATTTTGTATAGGTCAGCTAATCTAAGTTTAAAATATTTAAGGTTTACCCATAAGGTTTCAAAGAGATAGGGATTAGAAAATCCATTTTTGAAAATCATTACGCTCTTACATGGACAGGAGGGGGGAAGGGGTAGTAATTCTTTAAAATACAGGGTGTCCCTCGAAACATGACTGTCCAGAGATGATTTAAAGTTGTATTTGATCTTTGAAATAAATTGTGTTAATATTGAAAGCAAAAGTAAGGTAAACCACATTTTTAAAGTAAGTTTTTTTTACTATTTTTTCAAGAATCACGCCGCAAATTATTTCTAAGATCAAACCCTTGAATAATGCATGTGTACTACAGGTACATGTAGCAGAGGACCGTGGACAAGATCTGATGTATTCTCGAATATCTGAAGATGGTTCAAAACTTCTATATATTGGAACTATAGGGGTAGGTATAAAGATAAGGCATATCTTTTATGTGATTTTTTTAACATTTCGAGTTTGATTCTATTATTTGTTTTCAATTTTGAAGGCCTCTTCAATAAACAGGGTGTTTATACATACACTGCAGGGTACAAGAATTTACTAAGGGTGAGTCAACTCAGAATTTTCCGTAGCTTCCCCAAATGCTTTAAGGGTGGAGATATTTTCCGGGGGCCATTGCTTCATGTCCTTCATGGCTTACCCCTGTATGCTGTCAGGGAATATAAGTCGAATATAAAATTTTTAAAAAGTTACAAGTTATTAACTTGTGTCGGCTTGTGTCCCTGTGTTCCCCATCATTTGGGATCGATATATAGCAATTGTTGATTGCTAGGCTTGTGTCCCTGTGTGGCATTTAGAGCGGAATGTCCCCATCATTTGGGATCGATATATAGCAATTGTTGATTGCTAGGCTTGTGTCCCTGTGTGGCATTTAGAGCGGAATGTCCCCATCATTTGGGATCGATATATATAGCTTGTTTGATAGCTAGGCTTGTGTCCCTGTGTGGCATTTAGAGCGTTGGATTGTCCCCATCATTTGGAATCGATATATATAGCTTGTTTGATAGCTAGCCTTGTGTCTCTGTGTGGCATTTTGAGCGGAATGTCCCCATCATTTGGGATCGATATATATAGCTTGTTTGATAGCTAGGCTTGTGTCCCTGTGTGGCATTTATAGCACTGAATTTATAGCTTGTTGGATATCACGCTTGTGTCCCTATATGGCATTTAGAGCCTGGATTAATAGCTTCTTGGATAGTTACCCTTATGTGTCCCAGTATGGCATTTAGACCCTGGATTAATAGCTTGGTTTGATAGCTACAAAGATCGTGCCCAGTGGTAGTAGCGTTGATAGTTCGCGGGATTGTAACCGTGTGGTTAACTTTGATAGTGGACGGGTTGGACCTGGATTGATACGTTTCGGGAACTTGTTATCGAGTAGGTGTTAACTACACATTTAACGCAAACTTAAATTATAGAATACAATTTTGAAATATGTTACAAAGTTACCCACAAAGAATGAGACTGTAGAGATTACTTAATGGAATTAATACTGCCTGTTTCCTTATATTCATGATTCCCTGCAATTGTAAACTTAATCTTCTTTGCTAAAGCTTAGTTAAATAAGTTATTACAAGATTATGTTTTTAATTGTGTTCTTAGCTTCTAAAAGTTGGCATTTTCCTAAAGAGATATTGGGCCTTTTGTGTTTTCTGTTCTTAATCCTAAAATCTTACATGTTACTCATTTTCTCCACATGTTTCTCATTATTGGATACTCTCTCAGTGAGGGTTAAACCTAATGAACTCATAGTGCAATGTATCCAACTGGGACTGGAGTACCCTCTTCTCAGAGTTAAATCTAATATCAAGTTGTGAGAAAGAAAATAAAACATGCTCGGAATTCATTTTGTAAAACAGTGAAGCTTATTAGTTCAAGTTGTTTCCAAGTTCGATTCCAGGAATGCAATTTAGAAAGTTCCAATCCCATTCTGAAAAAAGAATTATTTGAAGTAAAATTCCGTTAAATTTAACTTTGAGGATTTACACACACTACATTATACATACAATAAACATATTGATCAACTGCAGTACAGGGAAAACGTGGAATGCATATTATTTGATGCTATATTGTTTGCACTAATGTCCGATTGAACTAACCACTAAAGTCAGTTGATCAGAAACAGGTTTTTATGACGATTGAAAATTAGTGCAAATGAACACAAATCCAGCTTTACTGTGTTCAATTGAACTAAAATTTTAACCTCCAGCCAGGAATTACAAATGATCATAAGTGCAATTGATCTGGAATACTAAAAATATTTGTTCAAACGCACTAATTTTGTTTCTTCTTTCTAAGATTTAGTAATTTGATAGCAGATCCCTACTAACCCGAAACCTAAAAATACTAAAGCCTCTATACAGGTATACGTATTATATATACGTAAAAAATATAGTATATTTACGTAAAAAATGTGTGTGCTCAACATTTTGGTAAAGAACTTGCGTATATTTACCTATTTTTACGTATTTATCATACCAAGCGGGTTTTTTAAAAGTGCTGAAGTTTTCCAGAAACGTATTTTTACGAATACTATTTACCAAGTATTTAAAAAAAAGTTTTTTGGTTTTTATTTTACGTTTTTTACGTATTTCTCGTTTTTTTCTTTTCTTCAAAACTAGCATTTTAAACTTGATGCAAACCTAAAAATATGTATGTTTTTGTAAATTTCATACCAAAATATTTTTCAAAGTTTTTAGGGGGTTTCTTACATATTTTTACGTATTTTTTTGGTTTTTTCTTTACTGTATTTGTTTAGAGTCTAAAAGTTTGATATTAACCTAAAAATACTTACATTTTCGTAGATTTCATGCCGAGTAATTTTTAACTTTTTAGGTTTTTATTTTACAAATTAATTTTTACGTTAGGGGGGAAGGAGGAAGGTTGAGAGAGGTTTTCTGGATACAACAGATTTGTAAATACAAACAGCTCAGGGTTGGTTTAAACTTTTAAAATCATTTTACTGAGATTTTCTTATTTTTGAAGAATGTGTATTCAGCATCTTGAATACAAGGACGGATTAAGGATAAAATGTTGGATGCGGGTTTCCAAAACTAAGGGACTACTATTGAGTCTAGATGCTTAAATACAGTTAAACAATTGAAAAAAATGTGAACCAAGTTTCATATAAAAAAATATAAAGAATTATTAGACTCTGAATTTTCCTTGATTGCTAAAAGGAATCGTCGAAAGGGAGTGCCGTTGTGAATCTAAGTAGAGAAGAGAAGCATGTCGGATTTAAAATGGTACCCTGGTAAATGGTACCCTGGTAAATGGTACCCTGAAGAACTTCATTCAATCAAAAATATGGAAGATATAGTCGTATTTCTAGCTTCAAAAGTGTATTATTCTGAATCATCAGTTTCAAAAAAAGAGACACAATTGATCAGACAAAGCTTTTAAGGGTACCGTTGTGAATCGGACACTCCAGTCTTAAATTGGAATGTCATTTGAAATTACGTCTACAGCCCTACAGTCTAATGTGCTGACACAGATATATTGTTTTTAGGGTAGATCTGAGCTGATTCTGAAGGATATTACGACACTAGGAGGTCAGGAGATTGCTCTTACAGCAGGAGGTCTTCAGCAGGTAGCTTTAGAAGATAAATAGTAGCTTCAGGAGATTAAAAGTAGCTTCAGGAGATTAAAAGTAGCTTCAGGAGATTAAAAGTAGCTTCAGGAGAGTAATAGCAGTTTCAGGATTAATAGTAGCCTCAGGAGATTTATAGCACTATAGGAGTTGAATAGCAGCTTCAGGATATTAATAGTAGCCTCAGGAGATTTATAGCACTATAGGAGTTTAATAGCAGCGTCAGGAGATGAATAGTAGCTTCAGGAGATTAATAATAGCTTCAGGAGGTTAATAATAGCTTCAGGAGATTAATAGTACTTCAGGATATTAATAGTAGCTTCACGAGATTAGTAGCAGCTTTATGAGTTTAATAGCAGCTTCAGGAGATGAATAGAGGTTCAGGAGAATAATTGTAGCTTCAGGAGATTAATAGCAGCTTTAGGATATTTATAGTAGCTTCAGGAAATTAATAGAAGCTTCAGTAGGTTAATAGCAGCTTCAGGAGATGAAAAGTAGATTTAGGAGAAAGAGTGTAGGTTCAAGAGATTAATAGAAGGTTCAGAAGATCAATAGTAGGTTCAGGATATTAATAGTAGATTTAGGAGATTAATTGAAGGTTCAGGAGATTAATAATAGGTTCAAGAGATTAATAGAAGGTTCAGGATATTAATAGTAGATTTAGGAGATTAATAGTAGTTTCAAGAGATTAATAATAGGTTCAAAAGATTATTATTTGGTTCAGAAGATTAATTTGTAGATTTAAGACATTAAAAGTAGGTTTAAGAAATTAATAGTAAAATCATATATGATTCAATAACATATTCAATAATAGTTTCCGGTGGAAGAAGAGTGTAGGATTCCATTTTTTAATGAACTAATTTCAGCAAAAAAAATGAAAAGATTGTTTTCGATGGAATTGACAACGCTGAGCTTGACGATATTATTTATTTTGTATACACGACCTAATTATTGGATGATTGTTTCTTGTATTTGTATTCATTTTGATATTTACTAATATAATTATTTTTCTGTTTGCATGAACAAACTATTTAAATTGTGTACGTTCACGAAAATAAATAAATAGATAAATTGTAAAAATCTGAAAATTTTGAACAACATTTTGTTTTTATTCGAATGAAAGAATCTCGGTTGATATTGTGAGTTTCTGAGAGTAATATATATAAATATTTAATATAAAACCAAGATTACAACTTTACAACTTCTTCCATGCGTATTTGTTGACTCAAAATCATTAGTCTGGAAAATGAGGAAAGTTTAAGAGAACTAGGAGGAAGGAGAAAGAGTTAAAGTTTATGTTCTAGGTTCGGAGTTTGGTGGGCTGGGAACAAAAATCTGGAAATATGTAAGTTTTCATCAATAATAAAATTTGAAAAAGGATTGACCAGAGATTGGAACTTTTGAGTATTTTTAACCTTGAACGCTTGATCTCGATATCCAAAGTTGGCACTTTTAAATTGAGGATCAAAGCTTGATCCCTTCATTTATTTATTCCTTCAGGTAGTGTTGTTATCCTTTTTGATCGTTAAAAAAAAGTAAAAAATATAAAACGATCCTAAAACGACCGTTACAATATGATTGTTTTTGCATGGTGTTTGGATCTGTTTTGGGTCGGTATTTGCTTATATCTTCTGTCATGGTCAAAATTTGACTTATGTAGTGTAAGCACGGGCAGCCGTAGTACATTTGAATTTCCGAGCCGGGTCAACCTTTCCGGTCTCAGTTTGTACTTACCTAGCTCTATAGACAGGACTAGCCGGTGCAACAAGGTTGACGCGGTTAGACTGAATATGCTGAATTTACTTTTACTAAAGGCTCAGATTTGCGTGTAAGAAAAGCAATTGTTTAATGTGGAGAACATTTGCATTTATTATACTCTGCTAAATTATGACTGTGAAAGAAGAAATAGGCAAAAACTTCCAAAATAAATTATTTAAATTGTTCTGGGAAGTACAAATAATAGTCAGTAAAAGTGATTAGGTAAAAATAAGTATGCAAAAGTAAGTATTAAGTACAATGAAAAATAGTAATTTTTAAAGTCGTAAATATATATAAATGCATGAAGGTAAATAAAGAATAAATATAGGTCAGTATTTAGTATTCAAGTATATCTATAGTATATTTTATCCATGGTGGTAAAGAATACTATTTTATGAAGATTGAGATCCCATGGATTATAGGATAATCTATAGTCGTGAATAAATTATAACTCTTCAAGTATTTTCTAGTTTTATCTTCTGACTGAATTTAATATTTTGACTGGTTCTACCAGAAAATAGCAAAATTTCGAGACAAAAATAATTTTGAAAATCCGCTAAACGAAAACAAAAAATCTGCGATATTTGAAATTGCTATTTTTATCTTAAAGTTAACGTTGCATTGGAAATTCCCCAGAAGGAATGAAAACTGTAAGAATACCTGCCTATGTTTGCAGTCTATTTCAAATAAATCATCTAAGCCTATATTTTAGTAAAAAAAACAAGCTTTTACATTTTTACCATCCTTCCTTCCAGAATCTGTTTAATAGAATTCAAGGACGGAGAAAAAATGAAACTTGTTCTGAGAAAAAGTAAACCTTCGAGAACACGAGGAAAAGAGGTCTTTTTATAAAATTAAAACTTTTACTCTGAAACAACTTCACGTTGTAAGAAGAGAACTTATTTTCATTAAACAGCAAACACAAATACACATTGTTCAATCCTTTATGTAAAATAGTTTTCTCAAATACACATTGTTTAATCCTATATATGCAGGAGTAAAATAGTTTTCTCAAATACACATTGTTTAATCCTATATATGCAGGAGTTAAATAGTTCTCATTAAAATGGTATTTATTTTAACGAAGATCATAATGTCACCGTGTATAAAATAAACATTAGTAATTTTGGGGAAATTTCATAACATTTTTCAATTTTCTGTAATTTATGTTTATCATTGATATATGATTAATTTACGATATATTTTGAAAGTTTAAATGCAATAGTATACATATTCATGAACATTGTACATAGACTACTTTTGAACACAAAATAGATAGAAAAAAGATAAACGATTATTAAATTACTTATTACAAAAATAGTAGAATTTTGATAACTTCATTTATTTGAAATATTTAATATAGATATTACATTGGATCTCGAGGAAGAGGAGATGAAAACCTGTACAGAGCTGAACTTGGAGCAGGCGGAGCTATTTCCAGTTCATGTTTATCCTGCTCCTCGTCTTCATCATCATCATCATCATCCTCTCTCTCCGTCAAGTCATTCAGAGTTTCTCCAAACTTCAAATTTTATTTGCAGGTCAAATTATTTTTTACGCAAATATTTCTCAACAAATAAAAAATTCTGTTTTTAAACAAGAAAATTTGGATGTTTTTCGAATTTAATCTTTTTTCAAAAAGTTTTATCTTTATTTTGGAAATGACTCCTGCATGATGATTACAAATATAAAATAACATCTTAAAACTTATTTGTAAGACCGAGAATGCACTGGACATGTTAGTGTTTGAAGGGGGGGGGGTCTTACCCCCCCCCCTTTCAGGTCGTCTATTACTAGCTAAAAGCATAAATCATATATTTGAGAATATATATTAATAAGTTAAAAGAAATAATAAATCGTATTAACTATCACGCAAACCTCTCTTTAACCAGTGTATTTTTCTATCTTAAGAAACTGGAATATTTTCAAAAATACGAGGGGGTGATGGGGGGACGGGTAGATACGAGGGGGTGATGGGGGGAGGGGGTAGAAATTCCTTTGTATAAGAATGGTGCAGCTGATTAAAAATTTTCTATAAAAAATGTCATTGTTCTACATTTAAAACAAAGGAATATGAGTCCTTGCCGCAAACTCAAATTTTCTAATCCCTACATCTTTGCAAACTGATGTTCACCATTTAAAACTTAAATTATTTAATTTTACAGAATGTACAGTTTAAAATATCTAAGATATAGGAATTAGAAAATTAGAGTTTGTGGCAAAGACTCCATTCCTTTGGCGCATTTTCTTCTTTAAAGTGCTTCCTCGAAATAGATCAAATAGTCTTGAAATACTAAAGTACTATATGGATTAATGTAGTGAAGAACTTCATATTTACTGAGATATGGAAAGCTCTGAAAGTTAGGCATCAAATTTTTAGATAGCCTCGACTTTAAAGTGTCACAACACCTTATCCTTTGGTTTAAACTCACAAACTTATTTATACTGTTTTGTAGCGCTTGTTTAAAAGAAGTATTAAGCAAAATATTGCAGATTTTTGCGCGATTTTTGCACGTGCATATCTTTGCTTGCAGTGTATTACAGGTGCTTACTGTAAATGTATTGTTCAGGAGGAGATGGTGAATGTGAGTTCCGTCCTTGTATCGGAGACAAGACTAGTTTCTCTCAACACTGGAGAAATATTATCTACCCTAGATCTAAACCATGATCTCAAACATCAGATCTCTCTCCTCTCCCTCCCTAGGTAGGACAAATCCATGCTAATTTTATAAAATGGTTCATTACTTTTTTATAAACAATCGGTCCAACTTAACTGGGATTAACTGGGGATTCATGTCAAGATTATACCATCGGAAATTTATGTTGTTCTTTTCTCTGTTCTATTTTTTAAAAAGTGAAAACAATGAAGCCTTCCCTTTAATGTGATTATTTATATATAATTTGATAATGAGGAAGGTGTAAAAAATTGGCGAGTGATTCTCCTGATTCCATTTATTACGTTTTAGAGAGAAACATATATATTACATTAACCGAAAAAATGGCTAAGCTTGATAAGCAGAGACAGCTTAAGATATTTTCATGAGGGGGGGGGGGATGGTGAAATTTTTTATCCTCCCCTGTCAAAAGTTTCCCCACTCCGCCCCTCCTGGAATTTTTTAACAGGGAATTTGGTAATTTTGATGGATTGAGTGGATCCGCCGGAAAAATTTCTATTTTTTAAATTCAAAATTAAAGATGTCTGCTGTCTCTTCTTGCAACCTTATTTTGCTCAGACATTTTTCAGCTTGAAAGTATCTCTAAAACGTAAGAAATAATCAGCAGAATTCACTCACCAATTTTTGACAGCTTTCACATTAGCAAGATATGTGAACCATCCCTTTAATAAAACTGAGGATGTATTGTGTACTCTTATATATAAATTATATATTTTATAAAGAAAACTTATTTTCTTACTTTTCTCCTTAATTAATGTTTAATGAACTCTTAGGAGAAGATTTATAGAGTTTAGTAAAGAGAGGATTGATCTTGAGCTGACTCTCCCCCCCACCTGGAGATCCAACCTGGAGATACAGTTTCCACTTTTCCTCATCCTGTAAGTTTTAATTATTGTCTTGTTACAGGTTTACATTTAATTGATTTTTTAACCTGAGCCAAGGTTATAATGCAAGGAAAGTTAATTGCAGTTGCGTATACTCAGCGTACACATTGAAACCAGTTCTCTCTGGGCGGAATTTGTAAACAAGAATAGATGCATCAGTGTTTGTTTAGTATCCGAGGAGGATAGAAGCATTGAATTTTAAAAATTTTTATAGGTCACATAAAACTTTCCTATGACCAGAATATCTCATTGATTTTTTATGTGAAAGATGGATCCCATGTCAGGCTTTGACATCCGTCTTGTGTTTACATTACCGCCCAGAGACAGTACACTGCAGTACAAAAGTTGCGTAAACTTCTGAAATAACTTTCCTTGCATTAGTACTTTGACCTGAGCGAAGTTGTTGATATATTTTATTTGAGGCTGGTTTTGAGCAGATTAGATCATAGAATGGATATTTTGAAATAACAAAAGTCTATGGTGTCGTTTACGTTGCAAAGATATAGAATTAATAAAAATAGAGTTTGAAAAATGCCATAAACTGAACTGATTAGTGCAATTAGACCTTTGCAATTTCAAATTTGAAATCTGTTAGATCAAAGTTCGTTTAAATTTTGACGGTTAGTATTTTTTTTATTATTATTTAAGGTTAGGTTAGGTACATTCTTGGCCGAGCGCTATGGCCACATGGTCAATTATATCCATTTATTTATTATTATTTAGGGTTAGGTTAGGTTAAGACACTTTCTGGGCCGAGCGCTGCGACTAGGACAGGCTAGGGGGCCGAGCGCTGCGGCCACGGGTTAGGTTAGTTAAGACAATTTCTGGGCCGAGCGCTGCTGCTAGGACAGGCTAGGGGGCCGAACGCTGCGGCAACATGGTCAATTATATTGCCAACCCGACCATTATGGAAGCCAGAATCAGACTAAAGTTTAAATCTTCAAAAAAGTTTGGCGGATTTTTGTGATTAAAATTGCGAGTTTCCTATGATTCAAATCAAAAAATATTTTTATCATTTTGACCTTTTGTCGTTTGACCCTTTGTCGCACTTTTGACCCTTTGTCGTTTGACCCAGTGTCGTTTGACCCTGGGTCGTTTGACCCTTTGTCGGTGAATCGTTTATAAGTTCATTTTATAATTGGAGAAGTTTATACGACTGAATTTTGTAGAATTAATTATAGAATCTCTTAATTAAAAGCTAGACCTCGAAATCGACGTTTTCGCTCATAATGGGTCAAGGTATTTAGGTTTAATAATAAGAATATTAAAGTTTACTCAGCTCAGGGAGTGTGTGTGTGTGTGTGGGGGGGGGGGGGTTAAAAACGAGACTAAAATAGTATTAAATTTTTCAAAAGAAAATTATTTGATGAATCTCCAAAAATTATATTATTGGTTTCGGACAGTTTCAGTGTATCTTTTTGTTAAGGCAGGACGAGATGGAAGGTTACTCCAGACCTAAGAACGGGTTGAGTTGGGAGGATTATCTAGCATCTGAGAAAGAATATATTGTAGGACGGGTTTATCATAGAAAACAACAGGTAAATCTTATTATTCTTGGTTTAACTCTGATTATTCATCCTTTAACCCTCACTCTTTTTCTTTAATTTTTATCCTTTATCTTTCATCCTCTATCCTCCAACCTTTATCCTCCAATCTTTAGCCTCCATTCATACTTCCATAAAGCCAAATGCTTTTAATAAGTCTAAAGTATACAAATTATAAGTTAAATATACAAGGTTACCCACAAAGGATGAGACTGTAGAGACGATTGTAAGAAATTTATACTGTCAGAGGTCGAATTTTAAGAATTTTAGCCGCGGCTCAAATAAGGTTGATGCCACTTAAAATTGTATTTAATTTTTCAAGATTTTAGCCGGCGCTCAATTGAAACCGGTTTTTGGCAGATTTAAGTCGCGGCTCAATTTAAATTGAATTCGGACACTGTTCTCTTTATATCCATGATACTCAGCAACTAACAACTAATTCCTTTCTTTGCCAAATCATGAAGTAAGCCATTAAAAGACACTTTTATTAACCGTGAAATCGTCATATTTTAACAGTTCAGATCGGTTTTACAGTCTCATCCTTTGTGGGTAACCCTGTAGTTCTTATTACAAAATTTATCCTGAACTAAGTCGAAATAAAAAAACTACTTGAAAACAAAATACGGAGGTTAGCACAGCTTGCATTAGAAATAAAGATTGAGAATCCAATTAAAAAAACGAATATGTAAAATCAGAAAAGAAAAGTTAAAGAGAATCTGAATAAATGAGGCAAAGTTTCCCAATAAAGAGATTGTTTTTGTTTCCCATGTATAACTTGAACAAAACAAAACAAAGTTTGGTTTAAACAAATAATATCATCTTGGATAAAGGGATAAATGTTTACCAGAGGTTAAATTTATCTAATTTGGAAATCCTTATTTCTTTGCAACTTTGGATTATTTGACAGAATTCATAGTTTGAAGTTTTAAAGGTCAACAACAACATAGATATATAGGGATTACAAGTGTTTAGTGTTTAGCTCCTGTTTAAAAAGACGAAAAATGGCTGACGTTGACCCAAAAAATATATTCAACCTTTTTCAAAAATCTCACTTCCATAAATTTTTGTTTGTTTTTTAAATAAAAAAAATGCCAATGATCAGCAAACATTTTAATCTCATCGCATTCTTCATAAAATTTTACTTTTTAACCCCTCCCCCTTCACACTCATTTTAATTTGAAATAATTATGAGAAATGTATGTCCCTGCTCTAAATCAAGGAACGGATTGAATATTTAGTAAACAGAAGAAAGAAAGAATTTTCCCAAAGTTTGAGGTAAAAGTAACCTTGTTTAGATTTCCCGCACCAAGAAAATTAAATCAGGAAATTTAAAATTCTCCGAAGTAGGAGATATCCTCAAGATTATCAGGTGAGCGAACAAAATAGAAATAATTTTATATTTTTAATGTATCTAGTATCTAGTATCTGCTGTCATGTCTATATTTTTTATTTGAAGATGTTTAGTGTCGATTAGTACTTTTTTTGTAAATATGGCGTCTCAAGGTAACTTGATATTTGAATTTGATAGTCAGTAAGCCTTTAATTTCAAACTTATTTATATCTTTAAATATATATAACCTGTCTATTCTCATTTTAAAATGAGGGCTTTTAGGCGGCCGTTTCTAGAAACATTTTTAACTTCTAACTTTTGCCTTTAACTTTAAATGTTTAAATTGGTGCAATTTCAAAAATAATAAATGTCGATTTTTTTTCCGGTAAAAATTTGAACCTTGACTTGTCATATACCTTCCAAGGGGTCACGTAAGTAAAAAAACTGGGCCCGATCGGTTTAGCCGTTTACGTTTTAGCGTTTATTGAATACTAAACAAACATACAAACACAAAATGATCAGACCTTTACTTGAACAATTCGATGCAGTTGGATCATACTCGTGGCTCAACTAACTAACCTATATAAACCTTTTTTTATCATTCATTTTAGTGTTACTTTCTTCTAATGTTTTGTAGACCATTCATCACGTGTAGTGCTTCCACGAAATTACCTTATTTTTTTTGCAAACTTTTGCGTATTTTTTGCTCATTGAGCGCAATAAGTTTTGCGCGTTTTTGAACATTTATGTGTAGGATTTTCGCAAAACCGGAAGTATTGCGCAAAACCTAGATTTTTCCGCAAACAAATAATATTCTTAGCAAATTTATCAAAATTGAGAGTCTCAGTCAAGTTTCAGCACAGAATCAATCAACTAAAGGTTTATTCTAAAATTTACATAGAAACAAAATTATGATTTTGCTACTCTGAATGGATTACTTTTATTACAAAACCTTCAAATTAAAGGACAAAAATTAATAAAATAGAAAGTAGAAAATTGAAAATTAATGCATAATTTTTTAGATGTCTGAATCTTTGTGTGGTGGCAACCTTTGATAATTCAATTGTTGACTACTTCTAGTCAATTGGATATGATTGAAATATCAAAGGGTTATGTCCACTGAGATATAGACAACCCTGAGTTATCAAATTTCTATTTTTAGACATCCTCAACTTTGAATTGTCTCATCGCCTTGGCCTTTGATTTTAATTCACAAATCATTAATCCTTTTAAGCGTGCACATCTTGATTTGCAGTGTGCTATTATGCACAAGGTTGCAAAGATTAAGTATTGAAATTAAATGCCAAAAAGTGCCATCTTATAGATAACTAATGTATACAGTTTACACCTTTGATTAGCCTTTTTATGAGAATATGTTCCGCAAAATTGCGCAAAACAGAATAACGCAAAAGCAGAATAGCTCAATTTTGCGCGAAATTAAGTTTGCGAATGATTGCGTAAAGTGGTATTTTTTTCGCAAAAATGTAGCACAACAAAATCAAAACGCAACTGTGTTGAGTATTTCGTAAAAAACTGCTTTAATTTAATTTATTTTCCAGGCATTTGATAAAGAATCAGAGTTATATCTCTCCGTCTGATATATGTATTCTGGGACGGAGCTATGGAGCCTGGATGGTTGGAGCAGTGCTAGCAGAGGACTCGGAGAGGTTTGTCTCGTGCGCAGTTCTCTTCAACCCTATCTCTCATTGGAATAAAATAGGTAGTTTTCTCTAAAAGATTGTTTATCCCATTCTTAACATCCCTTTCAAGAATTTAAGACTTATATTCTGAGGACCCCCTGAGAAAAAATTAACAAGGAACTAAAAAAATATAAACCTTCAGTCGATATTATTGGTTAGATTAAGACGTGAATGTTTACCAACGTATTTATTTTACATCTGATTGTGCTTCAAGTTTGAGAATTTTTCTTCAGAAGGTGTCCGGAGGGGGTTTCTTCTTCTTCCATTTTCAAATTAAAAGCTGATTTATTTCTAAAAAATGCTTTTCTCATTGTTGACTTTAAGAATTCCATGACCCTGGGCTGCAATAATAAAATCTCATTTTTATTGGATTTTCTGCGAAAAAAGTTAGATAATATTGCTCAAAATTATTAACTTTATCTCCCTAGAGACAAATTCAAATCAAATCTTACATTATAACGACACCTTAGGTTAATATAGTATTTTTTTAACACTTTCAATCTTGCCATGAAAACCATGAAAACCATAAAAAGACTTTTAGCCGAGCAAAGTTTGTTGTTTGTAGAGAGAAATAAGACAAGAAAGTGCGTGTCTACTAGTGTACTTTGTAACGGAGTTCAAAGTGCATATTTTTAACAAAGAATGTCAGATCATGGTTGGAATCAATTATTTTCAGACAGCTCTAAAGGTTCATCTACACCTACAGCTTAAAGCAGTTCCCTACAGAAGCAGCATTCTACAGTTCTGCTCCAGACTGCTCCGTGTTCTGAAGACTCATCAATTCCAGCAGTTGTGAAGCTCCCTAAATCCCCCCACAGAAAGTAAAAACGCTCCTATATATTCCGTAACAAGTTTTAATCAATAAACATTTTTCAACCCCCACCATGTATCATTTAGTTAGACCTAAGGTTTAACAACTTATATTGTACTGCATTATTTGGAACTTGGTTTAAATCTTAAAAGGCTTTTGTGATGTTTTAATGGAAAAAGTTTTTTATTCAGTTTAACATAAAACTTTGGAAATTCTATTCTTAAAATCAGATTAATTAAAAAATAAACAAAAACACAAAAAGTTATATAACAGCAGATTTTTTGTGTGTATCTAATATCATTCGTTAATTAGGGTTTCTTTGTTTAACAAACTTTTTAAATATTTTAAAAATCCATCTATTGTGAAAAAATGTCAAGCCAAATTGAGGTAAAAACGTTCGGGCCCATTCGTTTCAATTTCTAATTATAATTTACCATTCTTAAAAAAGTGCAATATTTTTTGCGTCTAGAGGATTTTTATGTAACTAGTATTCTTTTCAATATGTACAGACATCTCCGGCGTTTTAATTATGGCGGTTTTTTCTAGATACCTGGACGAGTGAGCGCTATCTTGGAGAAATAGAAACCGGTTTTCTCAACTATGATTCAGCAGATATTTCTAACTATGCAAATAGATTCTCAAAGAGGTGAGGTTCAACTTCTTCAAATTAGTCATATTATTGCTCATTCAAATAAGAAATGTTAGTTTTAGTATCATTCTCTAAATAAACCTTCAACCTTAAAAATCAGTGTAGTCCAAGGTTATAATTCAAGGAAAGTTAATTGCAGTTTCGTATACTCTGCGTACATATTGAAACCAGTTCTCTCTGGGCGGAATTTGTAAACAATAATAGCTGCATCAGTGTTCGTTTAGTATCCGAGGAGGTTAAAATCGTTAAATTTGGAAATTTTTGATAATTCATATAATAATTTCCTATGACCAGAATATTTCATTGATTTTTTTGTGAAAGATGGATCCCATGTCAGGCTTCGACAATCGTCTTGTGTTTACATTACCGCCCAGAGACAGTACACTGCAGTACAAAAGATGCGTACACCTCTAAAATAACTTTCCTTGCAGTATAACCTTGGTGTAGTCCCAATTTTTCCCCTAATAAAATATGGATGTGCAATTTCTAATCATTCGAAATTAGACAGTAAAGTTTCGGAATTGTAACCAATTTTTTGACAAGAAAGCCTGGGATTGAAAAACGTACGCAAACTTTATTTTGAAAAAAAGTTTACATTTTTTTCTTGTTGGAATCTTTTTAAATTTTAAATAGCAATTGATTATATAGGCTTTCTTAGAGAAACATTCAGATTTCAATATATTAGTTCAAATCTGACTTTTAAAAATTGTGTAGCCTCAGATATCAACTTAATCAAATAAGCTGCTCACTTTCCTAAAAAATTGTGTAGCATCAGATATCAACTTAATTAAATAAGCTGCTCACTTTCCTAAAAAATTGTATAGCATCAGATATCAACTTAATTAAATAAGCTGCTCACTTTCCTAAAAAATTGTGTAGCATCAGATATCAACTTAATTAAATAAGCTGCTCACTTTCCTAAAAAATTGTGTAGCATCAGATATCAACTTAATTAAATAAGCTGCTCACTTTCCAAAAAAATTGTGTAGCATCAGATATCAACTTAATTAAATAAGCTGCTCACTTTCCTAAAAAATTGTGTAGCCTCAGATATTAACTTAATCAAATAAGCTGCTCACTTTCCTAAAAAAAGTGTCTTATTGATTAAATATTTATGCTTAAAAACTCTGAAGCAACTTGTCCTTAGTTTTATATTCCAAAAATAAAGATGGAGAGATATATTTTGTTGAAAGATTGAAATCAATTTGCAGAAGAATAAAGAACTCCAATTTGGAGAAAACCCAGGCTGCAAAGCTCCCTTAATTCATTGGTAAATGTTTAGGCACGTGTCTGTTCTTGTGGTTGATGAGAGTACAAATCGACCTGGTCAGGTTCAACAAACCTTCTCTCTCTCCAAGCTCTTGGTTGACAAGGGAGTCATGTTCAAGCAGATGGTAGGATATATTTTATTTATCCTTCATCTCAGGTCTTACAGTCCGTTTTCAGTCCAGAATGTTTAAAAAAAAATATTTTTCACGATTGATATCGAGAACAAAAAAACAATATGCCTGAGGCTTTTTGAGTTTTTTCAAAACCTGGACCAATGATTACCCAACTATATGTTTCCACTAAAAACAATATGCCGGAGGCTATATGAGGTTTTTTTCAAAACCTTGATCAATGTTCACGCAACTAACTAAAAATACAAAGGATGTTAGATATCTTATTTACATTTTTTTTAAAACTTTATCCTTGTGCAGTTGTAGCTCTGTGTGTTCCTTATATTTACTGAACAAGAGGATAACAAACATTTCCCAGATTTCTTCATTCCATGTATAGTAAACGAACAAGCTTAATTATAATAAACCAAAATATTTTTTCTGAGAGGAAGGACTCATGATAAATTGAAGAAAGTATAAGGAAATCCCAATTCAAATTATGAATTAAAAGGCACTATTTGCATTTTTGCATATGTCCGTAAATTAGATAATTGATTAGAAATTAGAATGATATTTCTTTTAAGTCCTTAAAAAGGTATAAACTATTTCTGTAATAATAAAGATTTTAACAAATTACATTCTAGATATATCCTGATCCGGAGAAAACCGTCCCTATCTCGTCTCTGTATTATATTGTTTAGATCTATCCTGATGAAAAATATCCTGGAGAAAACCGTCCCCCTCTCGTCTCTGTATTATATTGTTTAGATCTATCTTGATGAAAAATATTCCGGAGAAAACCGTCCCTATCTCGTCTCTGTATTATATTGTTTAGATCTATCCTGATGAAAAATATCCTGGAAAAAAACCGTCCTCATCTCGTCTCTGTATTATATTGTTTAGATCTATCCTGATGAAAAATATCCTGGAGAAAACCGTCCCTATCTCGTCTCTGTATTATATTGTTTAGATCTATCCTGATGAAAAATATCCTGGAGAAAACCGTCCTCATCTCGTCTCTGTAATTGACAATTTTGTACAAAATCAATTTTCTCAAGAACTTGAAAAACTACCCCCGGAGGTGTACAGAGGAAAGAATATTGAGAAGAAGAGAACGGAGGAGAAAAGAGAAAAAGAAGAAAAAAATAGAAAAGCAGAAGATGAGGAAAGAAGAAATTGAAAAAAGTTTTTTGAATGTAATCATAGGTTTGTAAGGATTAAAAACTGAAGTCGGATCAAATGGATATTCATTCTGAAGTAAGGGGAATGATGCAAGTATGTAAAAACAAGCAACCATATTTTTTCGCAATTCCTAATCTTTAGTTCTTGTATTTTTTGTAGATATCACAGAAATATAAAAGAATATAAAAAAATGAAAATTTAATGAACTGTTGAGTTTGGACGGAATAAATTTAGTCTAGCTTATTAAAAACAAAAAATAGGATTATTTTGTTGTAAATTAAACCATCTATATTTTCCTAAAAGTTGTATTTTACCATTGTAGATCTCGAGATTCACAATACAACAGTTCTCACTTCTGATCATATCTTTAGTGTAATAATTCAAATATGTTTAGTGATCTATTTGATATCGTCAACTTGAATATAAGTAATATAATCAAGGCAGTAAAAGAGTTCCATCAAGGATTCACACCAGAACCTGAAACTATGGCGCATTACTTGTTTTCTATTACTAGGGTTTAATATGTTGAATCATCCAGTTTAATAGTTTTGAAAAAGAAACTTATGAATGGGTGAAAGGCAGTTGACCTTCATCTCTGTAATTAATTAATTAATTATTGGTTAAGAAAGTACTTTTGACCTTCAACTGATTAAATTTGAACCACAAAGAATTGATTACTCGCGACAAACTTGAATTTTCTAACCCTAAATTTTTTCTATTCTGATCGTGTAAACCTTTGTTATTGCATTCTTTCCTAAATTTAACTGTTGATATTCATATTTCACGCAGATTTAACAGTTCTTCTCCCAGTGAGCTCAGACTTTCAATGACAATTTGACCAACTCAATATACATTTTTCGCTTTTTCTCAATCATGCTTTTTTGTTGGTGGACGAGTTATCAATAAAAAATCATTAAAAAAGTTTTATTATTGTTGAATTATAGACCAAAATGCGATTTAATTCAAATTGAAGCAACTGAAGCAAGGTTATTTGTTATTCCAGGTTTCAAAGGGATAAGAAAACTAAAGATTATGTCGAGTAAAATCGGTTCATCTGATTTTAAAAGTTTGCATTTAAAACCACCCTGCAAGTATTTGCACAAATTCTTATTGAAGTTAGATTTTAGAAAATTCGTGTGAATTTTTTTGTTTAATGTAAATACTTATTATAGATTCCAAATTACCGAATATATTTGATTTCCGCGCTCTCATAATTTCTTCAAAAAAGGTTTGAATGTCTGATTGGTCCCAATTTTTTATATTTTGTCAGGAATCGAAATTTTATGTTTTACTTACAGAAATATATTCCTGTGTCCTGTTCAATCAAAACTTTTCATTTTTTTTTTGTAAATTTTGCTTTTGTATAGGTTTATTAGAGGTGTAAATTAATGATTATAGTGACAATTATTTAAATTTAAATTTAGTTTAATTATTTACAGTCAAAGTGAAAACAAGAAAACTATGAAATAGGAAGACGACATCTTTTGATGTTTTGACTGAGCAAAAAGCTTAATAGTAAGTTATTAAATCACTTCTTACACTTCACAATTGGTGTCTCATGTTCACTGGACAATTTAAAGTTGTAAAGTTGTAACTTGAGTCTGAAAGTCGACTTCCTATTCCAGAGTTTTCTGGTTCTCACTGTAATTGAATTACTTTTCTGGTAATGCAAAACTGAAATGCAAAATTACAAAGCTCGATTATTTTTCGGTTGAACGTACACCAAATATTTCCTCGTGGTGTATCTCATATCCAAGGAAATGTGGGTTTTATTTGACTCAAAGAAGTTCGTAGTAAGATTTCGATTCTACTGGAGACCACCGGAGGGATTTTATTTTCACTGGAGGGGTTTCAAAAAATGCTTTTTACAATTAAAAACTTTATGCAGGATGATTTACATTCCACTGGAGGGATTCAGATGTCCTTCCTGGGGGGTTATAATTCCACTGGAGGGATTCAGTTATCCTTCCTAGGGGTTTATAATTCCACTGGAGGGATTCAGATATTCTTCCTGGGGGTTTATTATTCCACTGGAGGGATTCAGTTATCCTTCCTAGGGGTTTATAATTCCACTGGAGGGGTTCAGATATCCTTTCTAGGGGTGTATAATTCCACTGGAGGGATATATATATCTTTTTCAGGGGGTTTATCATTCTTGTTAACCTTCCATACTTTTCATCCGTCTTTCCTTTTAGTTTATACTCATTTTTTTCATCCTGTTCAGCCTGGATATCTGAATCCCTCCAGTGGAATTTTAAACCCCTCGGAAGGATAACTGTATCCTTCCAATGGAATTATAAACCCCCAGGAAAGATATCTGAATCTCTCCAGTGGAATTTTAAACTCCTAGGAAGGATATCTGAATCCCTCCAGTGGAATTATAAACCCCTTGGAAGGATAACTGAATCCCTCCAGTGGAAATATAAACCCCTAGGAAGGATAACTGAATCCCTCCAATGGAATTATGAACCCCTTGGAAGGATAACTGAATCCCTCCAGTAGAATTATAAACCCCCAGGAAGGATATCTGAATCCCTCCAGTGGAATTTTAAACTCCTAGGAAGGATAACTGAATCCCTCCAGTGGAATTATAAACCCCCAGGAAGGATATCTGAATCCCTCCAGTGGAATTATAAACCCCTTGGAAGGATAAAAGCATTTTTTCAAACCCCTCCAGTGAAAAAGAATTCCCTCCGGTGGTCTCCAGTGGAGTCAAAATCTTACTACGAACTTCCGTGACTCGTTTTATTTTAATTAAAGGAATTTAACCTTTTCCGGGCCACAAACTCTGATTTCTAAATCTCTATATCTCTGCAGCTAAATATATAAGTAGACCTTAGATATTTCAAACTGTGGATTCTGTCACATCAAATATTCAAGTTTAATATATAAGGGATTATAAAATCCAAGAGTTTGTGGCAAAGAATCAAGGTTTTTATCGTAAAAACATTAATTTGTTTTGTGTGGAATAATTTTACAATGAGCATAGCAATTTAATGTTTATGTTTATGGTGACACTGTAAGATCTGGGAAGTACACAGGGTTAGTTTTCTTAAAAACGGAATTAGCATTGTTTTACGAAACCCCTTTTTGCAGTGCTTAAGTCTTGGGCTTAAAAATACCAAAATGTAATCATCAAAATGCAAAAATATTATTTTTGTAGACAAGAAACTTTTTATCTTTTTCTTCGGAAATTAATTCAAAAATGTGTTTCAAATTTCATGAAAATCTTTTTGATTAATGAAAGAGATAATAAAGAGAAGAATTATTAGTGAAATTCTTCAGATTTAAAACTTAAAAGATGTATTTACCTCTACCAAATCATCCAAATCTTCCATATTATATGAATTAAATTTTTAACTAGCAAATTGATCCATTTTGACATCTTTGTAAGATTTGGTGCAGAATCGGATTAATTTTAATATTTTAGCTGAGTTTTTGTGACTTTTTCTCTAATCAATAGATATTTATAAACTTTTTATTAACATAAAGTAAACCTTTCTTCTATAGATCAAAAGATTTTTTTTTCTTATTGGTTAATTTCATTTCAATATTTTTCGACCCCGGAAAACATTTTCAAAATGTTTTGTAAAACAACGCTAATCCTGTTTTTTTACTCACCCTGTATCTACAGTATGTTATAAGTATAAAACCAGATTAAATAATAAATGTAGAAGAATATTCAAACTTTATAAATCAAAACTTTTGTTGGAACAACATATTGTTCTATGAAGAGTATCAGTAGTTGGAGAAGGAGAATATAACTACGCACGGTATTCTATTAAAGTTTATTTTTAATAAACTTTACATTATTTTTATCAAAAAAAAAATATTTGTCAGAATTCAAGAAAACCATGTGTTTTAAATAAACATTTAATTCTCATACATTTTGGCATATTTTAACTCTGGGAGAAAATAAGAGCAAAAAACCTTCCAAAACATTGTTTGCAATAAAACTCTCCTACTCTCGTTGAGGTATAAGGATTAAAATGATCAAAATATGAATATAATAAGCTTTAATTTTTAACTGACGCATGTACTGCTGAGTATGTCCGCGGGCAGTATCAAAACTATGTACTGCTGAGTATGTCCGCGGGCAGTATCAAAACTATGTACTGCAGAGTATGTCCACGGGCAGTATCAAAACTATGTACTGCTGAGATGTCCGATTGCAGTTTCAAAACTATGTACTGCTGAGTATGTCCGCAGACAGTATCAAAACTATGTACTGCAGAGTATGTCCGCGGTCAGTATCAAAACTATGTACTGCTGAGTATGTCCGCGGGCAGTATCAAATGTGCAGCACTCAAAATACAAAAAAAAACTAATTTTAGCAAGGGTAATTAGGTTCGTTCGTGAAGGCTCACTGACATCTGAATCACCGTGGCGTTGATAGTCTCTTGGTTGTGTGCTGTAGTTTCATGCAGGGAATGGAAGAGTTTAATTTATTTAAACTGATAAATGTTTTAGAAAAATTCAATACTTTTTCAATTTTGACATTTACACACTTAAAGATGTTTTATTAATTTTTTACTTTCTCTCGATCATCCGATTGATAGTAAACACAGTTGAAGGTACTGAAAGCAAAATTTCAGGTGATCCTCCATACAATGATGACAGAGCCTGATTCACAACGATACCCTTAATCTGAATTTTTATAATTTCGATATGTTTTCCTACAATTGCGCATGAAGTCACTTTTTTAGAGAAACCACTGATGAAAATAATTAATTTCAAATGTTTTAGGATTATGATATCAAAGGTTTTAAATTTATAAATCCTAAAAATATATATTTAGGCGAAGGATAATAAGTAAGAAGCGTTTCCATAAACTTCTTAAAAATTTTCAATTTTCCCAAACCTTTGATCCTAACAATATCCTTACAAACAAATTTAAAATTCAAAGCCCTGGGTTAAAAATATCCGAAGGAGTAAAAATATTTGTTCAGTTAGCTGTACTGTATACTTACAACTGTTTACTAATATTGATATACTATAGGTTAGGGCAGAATCTCCTTATAATAAACAAATATGCAGTTATAGTTCATGGTATATAAATTAGTAAAGGATTAGCGTACATCATCACTCTATACACTATAACCTCGTTGGTTAGCGTACATCATCACTCTATACACTATAACCTTGTTGTTTAGCGTACATCATCACTCTATACACTATAACCTCGTTGGAAATATCTCATTAAGAATCTAAATTCGATAAAACATATAAATTTCTTTTTCAATTTAGAATGTAAGTACTCTTTTACTTTTATTTAAGGTTAAATAAATACATTTATCTTGGATGCATGGGATATGGGAGAACTAGAAGGGATCCATGAAGGTTGGTGGGATATGGGAGAACTAGAAGGGATCCATGAAGGTTGGTGGGATAAGGGAGAACTAGATGGGATCCATGAAGGTTGGTGGGATATGGGAGAACTAGAAGGGATCCATGATGGTTGGTGGGATATGGGAGAACTAGAAGGGATCTATGAAGGTTGGTAGGATATGTGAGAACTAGAAGGGATCCATGAAGGTTGGTGGGATATGGGAGAACTAGAAGGGATCAATGAAGGTTGGTGGGATATGGGAGAACTAGAAGGGATCAATGAAGGTTGGTGGGATATGGGAGAACTAGAAGGGATCCGTGAAGGTTGGTGATATATTGGAGAACTAGAAGGGATCCACGAAGGTTGGTGATATATTGGAGAACTAGAAGAATGAAGTGAGAAGGACATAGAAGAAATGAGACGGATGGAGACGAAAAAAGAAGGATGTAGATGAAGTTTGAAAGACGGAGATGAAGTGAGAAGGACGGAGATGAAGTGAGAAGGACGGATGAAATGGGAAGGAATGAAATAAAGTAAGAATGATGAAGGTGAAGTAAAAAGGACAGAGATGAAGTGAGAAGGACAGAGATAAAGCGAGAAGGACGGAGATGAAATGAGAAGGACGGAAATAAAGTGAGAAGGATGGAAATGAAGTAAGAAGGACGGAGATGAAGTGACAAGGACGGAGATGAAGTAATTAAGGGGGATGAAGAAGAAGTAAGGATGACGGAGATTATGTGAAAAGGACAGAGATGAAGTGAGAAGGATGGAAATGAAGTAAGAAGGATGGAAATGAAGTAAGAAGGACGGAGATGAAGTGAGAAGGACATAGATGAAGTGAGAAGGACAAAGATGAAGTGAGAAGGACGGAGATGAAGTAAGAAGGACGGAGCTGAAGTGATAAGGACGGAGCTGAAGTAAGGATGA